AAAAAAAATTCATAGTAAGACTTACTGTTGAGATTTAGATTAGATGGTCGATCGAACGGTTGAGATTTAACATAACGTGTTAGTGCGTATTCGGTCCCCAAAGAAGAAAACCCTAGAGAGATAAGTCGAAAATTCTATAAGCCTATAGAGATAGTTCTTATTTTTTAACCTATAAAGACATATCAGAGAGGGAGACCGAAAATTAAGAGGAAAAACTAGTCTACGGTTTTATCCCTAACATATTTATAGGGAACAACTTGAACTCTTAAGTTAACAAGTTTTCTAAGGATAATGCATATCTTTTCAAAAGACAAAACTGCAAAATTGGGCCCTAGGGTTTTTGAAAACCTATGGATAGAATCCAAAAAGTTTCAAACTTGCATAAAAGGTCCAAAATCAAGAATTTTCTTTGACTTTGTTCCCTGATACACTCGAAATGTCAAGTTTACCATTTTGAATTCTTTTTTATTTTCTTTATTTATTTTAGTATTTAAATAATTAAAAAGAAATAAAAAAAATAAAATCGCACCCCATCCCTCTTCATTGGTACCCCCAATTTCTCTTCTCTATCTGACTATATACTTCATTGAAGAAATACTTATACTCACAAATTAAACACATAGTGAATAAAAAACCTAAATTTGCTAACCATAGATCTAATTTGTCAATTTCTGGTGATTCAATACTTAATGACAAATTCTTTGTTCTTTGTCTCTATTAAGTTTTACTTCTTCAACTAGTAAATCTTAGTTATGTACACTTTCCCCTTTAATTGACATACAAGTATTTGGGGGTGTGTGTGTGTGTCTGCTTTCACTTTCGTCGGAAATGGGAAATACCGAGATATGGGTGGTAATTGTTAATATCTTTGGATTTTGTTTAGTAATAGATACATCAAAAACATGAGATTTGTTTCCTCTACAATTGGGATTTATGTAATTTTGGATAAGAAAGTGGAGATATGGAGTACCTCAGGTTCAAAATTCATCTAGACATTATTTAGAACCAACATTTCGAGGAGACTCTTGACCGGAATAAATGGTTGTCGGCTTTAGACAAGGAACCTGTGAGTTCTGAATGGAATACGGCGGCTAGAAACAAAGAATAAGAAGGGAGTGGGAACAGGGGTGTTGATAAGTTGAGTTGTAATGATGTAACGACCCAAAACTCATGGGTAAACATTTCATTTTTAATATAGCTAAAACATTGATACCATTTATTTCAAACATTTGAAATCATCATTAAGTAAAACATTTATCATAATTTATTCCAAAATCATTCATTGCGGAAATCATAGGTGTGTGCACTGCGATCAATCCAAGCCCTTATTTTCCAAACCGTAAGCACAAAGCTTAGTGAGTTCCGCAGAGCATACCCCACATACAATCCACATAACACATATCATATTAGGTATAAAAGCTATCTCTACCAGATACCACATATCATATTAGCTATAAAAGTTATCTCTACAACATACCACATATCATATTATCTATGAAAGCTACCTCTACCACATAAGCCATGCATACAGACATAGAATGATGACGTGGGCTCCACCCAAGGTCTTACTCCAGGATGCCATAGGCTCCCCCATGTGGTCTTACACCTAAGTGCCATGGGCTCCCTCACATGGTCTGACATCCAAGTGCCATGGGCTCCTCCTATGGTCTTTCATGCAAGTATCGCAAAGACAATTAGCATATCACACATCACATAAACAACTAATATACCACATATCACATAAACAATGCATATAAACATATAAGGATGTCGTGGGCTCCTCCCAGGGTCATACTCCAGAATGCTATGGGCTCCCCTGCATGGTCTTACACCCATGTAACATAGGCTCCTCCCATGGTCTTTACCTGGAAAGTCATGGGCTCCCCTACATGGACTGACATCCAAGTGTCATGGGCTCCCCCACATAGTCTTCCATCCAAGTGTCATGGGCTCCCCCATGGTCTTTCATGCAAATATTACATAAACAAATAGCATAGCATATAGCAGCTAACCAACCAACTGGCATACCATATATCACTGCATCCACTAGTGTATTACATATCATAAAAGGGGCCGGCCTTGGAGCCTTCGACCCATTGGTATGGTGAGGAGACTCACGTGGCACTGCTGAAGTCCAGTGGATGTGACTCCAGCTACTGGTTGATAGATTCCCGAAGTGCCAACATCAAACAATACACAATTAATAATTGGGTTTTAAAGCCAAAGGTCCAACTCACACTCCAAAGACCCAATATTCAAGTAATGGACCAAAGCCCAACATATAGCCTAATTTTCCAAATTAGGCCCAACCTTTCATATGGGCCTTATCTTAAGGCCCAACCACTTATTATGGTCCAAATACTTGGCATTCCAATGGTCCAATATCTTATAATCATAAAGGCCCAATTATGGCCCACCTATGGCCCAATTTTCCAAATTATGCCCAAGTCCTTCACATGGGCCTTATCCTAAAGTCCATCTAAATATTTTAGTCCATTTACTTGTTCTTGGATAGCCCATCAATAACCCAATTACCAAATCCCAAAAGAAAGGCTTAACTCAAGGCCCAAGTGAAATTAGGGTTTTCACATGCAATGACGATTAGGGTTAAGTGTTTCTTACATAACTCATTAAGGACTTAATCCATTAAGTTAAATATCGCCTTAGGTTAATTGCAGATTATTATTAATTAATATTTTAGGTTTGTTAAATAATACCCGTGCGTGTCCCGGCCAACCCCAAAATTAAGGTTTCATGGCATTAGGGTTTTCCAAACCCTAATTAGGGTTTCCAACCTAATACTAGCCCATTAGTCACATGTTTGGGCTTCTATGTCAATTAGGGCTTCATTGGGCCCATTCTGTCCAAGCATTCAAAACGACTCAAAACGCAAATGAGGCGTACCGCCACCCAACACGGTGGCTGGTGGTGGTTATAAGTTTTGTATTATTATTCCGTCCGATTACAATTTACAACACAATCCAAATAACACACAAACACACTAATAAAAACACACACACACACACACACTAATAAAGAAAAATGCACATATCCACCCTTATGGTGGTCAGCGGTAGTATATGGTGGTAGCCACCACCTCACGGTGGTGGTGGTGGCTTTTACAGCAAAATCCAGCCAAACAATAGATTCAACATAATACATCAACACATACACACACAGCTAAATTCATGGTAGAACACGCACACAACCACCTTCCACGGTGGCTGGTAGCGACGCAAAGTGGCAGCAGATGGTGGCCAGCAGCAACAACTTCATTATCGGTAGCAGCCACTATGGCCGGCTACGTGGTGGTTCTCCACGACTTCCATTTGACAGGACCCACTCACACACACAATCACATAACAAACCACGAACCCGATCACCATGCCACGACGGTATGTGGCAGACGAAGGGCGTCAGTGGTGTTGAGAAACCTCCAAACGGCATCGGTGATGTAGTCTTAGGGAGAGAAATGAGGGGAGGAGGAGGTGGTTCAAACCCACCGAGTACAGCAGCAGCAGCGGCGGAGAGGCGCCTGCTCGAGTCCCTATCGGCAACTCCGTCTTTAACAGCATGGCAGTAAGCTTTGTTGGCATCCATGAAAGGAGGTGGCGGCGAAGGACGGAGGGAAATCCACGAGCAAATGGCGACAACAACGCATGTAGCTTCGCTTTCCTGGCGTTAGGGTGGACACGAGGTGGTCACTCTGGTGATTTCCAATTTCGCTAGAAGAGGTGGCGACGGTTGAAGATGAGAGGGAGGTATAAGTGTGGCGGCTGCATCTAGTTATTAGGGTTAGGGTTTTCGATGAGTCTATGAAACAGTTAATACCTGCTCATTCAAACTTCTCCCTATAATGACACCTTTAGTCCCTCCCCATAAACATCTTTGCAAACCAAGGCCCATAATTTACTTTTCATACCCCTGTTGCCACAGTTCTTTTCATTGTAAGTCCGAAAGTTATCAAACAACCCCTAAGCCTGCAAAATCTCTTCAAATTAAGTCCAATGCTTACCAAAAAATCTTTACAAAACACATCATGAAATTATACTTTGACCCTTAAAAGTCTAAAATATATCATTTGGCTCCCCGAAACCAACTCTCCGTTAAATATTATTGATTTTAGGGCCATTATAAAATAATATAAATTATAAATTTACATCATGGGTCCCCGAGTTTATTATTTATTTAATTAGTTTTAAACTGAATGTTACAAATGACGATTCTGGGAAGACGGTGATAAATAGGTACCATTTTACAGATGAGTTACAAGTTTTTTGAATTTGGGAATCATCTTCTTGAGATTTAGGGGGCAAAAGAAGAGACTGGGTGTGGGGAGACGGTAGGTGGAGAGAGAGAGAGAGAGAGAGAGAGAGAGAGAGAGAGAGAAAGAGAGATAGATAGATAGATAGACGTATAGATAGATACATAGATAGACAGATAAATAGAGAAAGGGAGAGAGAAAGTAGACCCTATTCTTTTATTTTTATTTTAATTAATAAATTATTAAAGGAAATATAAAAAATACAAAAATGAAATAAAGAGGGAAGATTGTTATTTCAGGTTTTCCAAGGATCAAAACCACGAGAATTTCTTAAATCTAGGGCCAAAAACATAGAAAATTCTTAATTTTAGATCTTCCATGTATTTCGACAACTTTTTGGATTCTATCTACATTTTTTGCAAAACCATAAGGACCAATTTTGTAGTTTTGTTTTTTAAAACCTGCTATAATGTAGAATATCCTTCTAGAATTTTATCATTAATCTCTTGGAATTAATTATTATTCAAAATTAAAACCTTTTGATTAAATATCAAATTAATTTTTAATTAATTTATTAATACATAATAAATGAACAACTTATTTTCTTCATTTCCTTATTAATTTGTGTTATTATTAATTGTGTAATAAGGCCAAAAAAAAAAAAAACCATGTTATTGTTTGGAAATATTACCAATTGTAATTGAAAATATACAAACTTGTTTCTACATTACTGTAGGACATCTTTGCTGGAGGCACTGATACATCTTCCATAACAATTGGTTGGGCTATGACAGAAATTATACGACACCCGAATGTGATAGAGAAGTTACAGGCTGAAATAAGAGAAGCTTTCAAGGGGAAGGGTAAAATCAAGGAGTCAGACCTACATGGTTTGACCTATTTGCAGTCAGTAATCAAGGAAACTCTACGGCTTCACCCCCCAATCCCTTTATTACTCCCACGTGTATGTAGGGAGCAATGTAAAATTGATGGATACGATATACCAGTTAAAATGAAAGTCTTTGTCAATGGATGGGCTTGCTCTACTGATCCTGAATACTGGGAAGACGCAGAGAGCTTCAAGCCAGAAAGATTTGAAAATACTTCAGTTGACTTCATGGGAACGAATTATCACTTTATCCCGTTTGGATCTGGGAGGAGAATGTGCCCAGGAATAACGTTTGGTATGGTATCTGTGGAGCTTCTCCTTGCCCAAATGCTTTTCTATTTCGACTGGAAACTGCCTGAGGGATTAAATCCTACGGATATTGATATGTCAGAGACCGAAGGATCATTAGTAGCAAAAAAGGTTCACTTACATTTGATTCCTACCTCTTATGCTCCTGACAGGTGACTAAATTGTAAGGTTTTGAAATACAGAAGGTAGTGTGAGTTGATTGAGTAGACTTTCAATTTCTTTCCCTCAAATGAAATAAATGAACGGAGCATTTAACTTTTTGTTTTGAAACATAATTACATAAAGTATTTGCTTAAAGTTATCACGGGTAAAACTGTGGTTACTTTGTTTCTCTTCTATGTTTTCTTTAGCTTTCATGTAAATTAAGAGTTACTAATGTTATTTTAAAGTTTTTTGAGTCCTGTTGTTTTTGTTTATGTGAACCATGCATGTAAAACCTTGATGTCAAGCCTTATGCTCATGTTGTTTATTGCATCTTTATGGTTTTTTCTTTTCTCTTTTATTATTATAATTTTTATTATTATTGGGGGTATTACTTTTATTATTTGAACGACATCAATAATAAAAATAAAATAAATGATCACACGAAAGAATTTTGTGTATTTATTAACTGTCAAATGATTCAAATCTTTGAATCTTACAATTATTGTATACATTTTTGTAAATGAACATCCAACATGTGATAGAAATCAGTACATTATTTGAGACATTTTGCGGACCAAAACATAGCACAGAACATGTCATCGAACCTTTTAAGGTTACACAGTGAATGATTACATCGAACCTGTTTGCAATGAGAAAACGGTGTCCGACATAATAATCCAACGTTCAGTTGCTTCAAAATCCAATCTTAATTATCTCAGTGAATGATTTATGATATTGAAATAGTTTGTATAAATCAATGTGTATTCTCCTTGGTGCTTTCATAACTCGTTTTATTAATCCGAATTAATTGTACACCAATAATATAATCAAAAGAACGTGTATTCTCATAGTCATAACTTTTAGCTCAAAGAACATCTTCTATGCATGTGACGTATGGATAAAATTTATTTAAAATTTCATTCATAGGCGTATTTCAATTATACAATTATGAGTTGAAGTATGAGTTATACATTTATTCCTATTGCTTAAAGTATGAGTTATGTGTTGCTTGTTCATGGTTCAAGAAAGAGTGTAACATTGACGGCTCTCAACCTGGATGTGAAAACTAGCAAATTTGAGTCGGATCGAGTCTAAATAGTAACCACGTACAAGAGAATTCACAATGAAAAACTGGTTACAATAGATCCTAGAAGAGTCATGTTTGTATAATTACATGTATACCTTAAAATTCATATTCATAATATACACTTGATAGTCAACATGAATTATCAAGATGTTCGAAATCTCAAATTTGCATTTAAGGTGTTTAAGTTGGACCGAGAAGCCTTAAGCCAAGAAGCCTTGCCAACGAGAACATCCACCATTTCGGACCGAAAACCTCGCAACAAGAGTTCTCGACTTGAACCGAGAACCTTAATTAGTTCTCAGCCTCTAGGACCGAAATCCTTCTTTGATCTCAGTGACACAAGGAAACCGAAAACCCTAGCCTCGGAAATGGGATCTCGGTTGGGTGGGGAATCTGAAATGTTGACCAAAGTGATTTGACACCTCACATTTACATCTTTTTAACCACCATACCTCCATACTAAGCATGCAAATACCCCCCAAGTGTCTATGCAAGGCATGCAAATAACCAACAAATAACAAGAAAAGCATCTCCTCCATCTCCATTTAAACCCTCGGCCGAAGAGGCATTCTTCACTTCTAAATAATCAATTTTCTTTCACTCTTTATCTCTTTCTCTAAAAAAACGAGCCAATGTCTCCAAGAACTCCCCTTCTTCAAGTGATTCTCTGGTTTTTGGGTAAGTATTACGTAATACCCTAGTGTTTTATACAAATTTTTTTTATAGTTTCCTCACACACATTATCATGTGTTAAATCTTTAGGATACTAACATCTCCAAGAAAGTTCTTCATCTCCATCTCAGATCCTAGGCTTTCAAACTATCAAAAAACTCCACTCAAGGTGAGTTCATACCCCTATTTTTCGAGATTTTTATGTTTTTTTTTTTTTGGGGGGGGGGGGGGATACAAGTTAAAAATTTGTTTGTTATACACATATTTCCATGATTTGTCTAAATGTAGAATTTCAATTCATTACGTGTACAAGTATCCTCATCATTAGTCATTTTACAAATATTTCTGATATTTGCTTTAAGACTGCCAAACTACAAAAATAAAAATACTATATGAATTGATGGTTGTAAAACTACATGATTTTAGAATTTGTTTCCATAAAAAGGTATTTTTTGTAAGAAAAAGGTATATTTTGTGGTCTTATACAAATTTTGGTGGGTTACAACTCAAAAGTGTTATGTTTCACCATATATGTTAAGCACAAGGTGACGACTTTATATTTGTCTAATAGAACAAACAAAACCGAATAAACTATAATGGGTATAGTTGGTAGTCATATTACTATATTATCGGTTGTACTATTAAGTGGTTATTTAAAGACATAATTATTTTATTTACAAGAAAAAAGGGTTTTCAGAACACGTAAATTGACTGATATAACTTTGTGAGACAGTTAGCTTTACGGTACCCACCAGAATACACGTTAAAGTCCTAATTTATAACCAGAGTCTCTTGTAAGGAGAACATGACACTTGTGTATAGATCTATACGGGATTGACAACCCCACACCTAAACTGTTAGCTACAGTTGACAGGTCTGGGATGACAAATGTCATAACAACTCCAACGCCCGAAGCACGTCATCCAGGCCACTAGTCATATTAGTATGGTTATAATAATTCACATAGAATATTAATACACATTTGATTTACGGGGTAACATTACAAGTATTCTTATATAAAGATAAAACTCCATTGCATCATTACACAATACAATGTTACTTGCATTTCTAGTCTTATTACATTAAGATTTACAACTCATTTTTAAGAAAATATTGGATTTTCTGGAAGTGTATACTATCATTTTCATGAAACATTTAAAACCCTTTTTCATATAAAATGCTTATGAACTCACCAAATTAAATTTTGATGCTTTTCAAAATCACTTGTATTCTCAGGAGCTTAGTAACATGTAATCAGAAGAATTTTGGAAGGGTGGAATGTCGTCACATCATTTCCTTGATTTTTGCCACGTGCATCTGATGTCATGTAAACAATATTTGAAAACAATATAAACTTATTAAACATTTAATATAATGTTTGTGATTCTATGTTTCATTTATATTCAATTATTATGATACTGTACATGAAGTCATCCACCCTCGGACGTTTCCGCTGTTCCGGTTCGGGGGTGTGACAGATTGATATCATAGCATTAAATATAGTGAATCAAGTATATAAAACCAACTAAAATATACAACTATAAATACAATGGGGCTAGAACCCTCTGACTAAAAGTATGCTTTTAAAAATAAATGTATAATAATATTTTCATAAAAGTATGCATGCATGCATACTAGGAACAGTGTCATAATAAGAATCATATAGAAGTATTTAGAGGAGTTAGACACTACGATTAAGCCTAGATAGTTATGTAATCATATCTCGGAAAAATATAGCCTGATCAACTATATTTATGTAAGATATGACCAACATGTGTTTAGGAATGGTCGTGGTGTTTAAGGAACCTAAAACTTACCAACCCTAAGACTGTAGAATCAAACATAAAAATTTAAAATATCATAGGAGTATTTTAGAGTATTACAAAAATCATACATTTAAGTCTTTATCATATTTCTCACATCTCTATTCTCGCACAGACATCATGGTAGGATTCCACCTACTTGGAGATCCCTAATTCCCTTACCAGGGAAATAGTGGATGGATCGAAGAAGATCCCGAGGAGGATCCTGGGGAACTAACGGAGGAGGAACCCAAATAGGATCTCGAATAGGATCCAGAGGTGGAGGAAGAGGAAGAGGAAGAGAAGGAATCGGATACGGAGTCCGAAGTCATAAATCCTCCTTATGTGGCTCGGGTCCCTGCACATCATTTAGGCTACAATAGACCCACGCCCCGATGGGCGGAAGACTTCGAGAGGTGGAGCCGGCAACAGCGCCAACGTTCTCCATATGGGATGGAGTGAGATTACTATAACCTCCACCACAGGGCTCCGACTGACAGGGTCCTTCCCATTATGGTTCAACGGATTTCACACCTTGGGGACCATACTAGAGTGGCGGCGAACCAAATTGTGGAGCCAGGGGCTGCTACTGAGGCTGCTAATGTCCGAGACCGATTGATGGAGAGGGACTATCCCAGCACATGTCACTTCATTGACAGCCTCCATGAGGACCTTACCACCGCTTGATCAGAAGTGAGGGAGTACTAGGAGAGGCACGCGGATCTCGAGGAAAGGGTGATTGCAGAAGAGCACCGATTAGCAGAGATACAGGGCGCCTCGACTTCATCTCAGGGACTGCAGGAGACTACCCGTTGTGAGTAGGGCGTATCTAACTCACATCTTTATGTATTTACGAGTAAGCATTGGTGCTACTCTTTTATGTACACCTTTTTTAAGGTCAATTATCACAAAAAAACTATGTACTAGCACTATGTTGTTAATGAAATGAATATATGTTTTATTTCTTTTGAATGTTGTTAATTATTATGCAATTGTTTACTTTTGTAGTAAAAATCTATCATAAATGGCTTATAAATTTCTATAACAACTTTATGCATATACAAAACAAGGCATTCTTTTAGGGTAATGCCTGAACCTTAACCCTTCCCAAAACTTATCATAATTCCACCTTCATACTTTATGGCAGAAATATGCCACAAAAGAAGTCAAACAGGCGCAAGAATAACACACCGAAAGCTCCACCAATGCTACCACCGCCATCTCCTCCACAAATGGACTCTGTAGTGTTTCAGGTTGCAGTAACAGCTGTTGTGGCCCAAATCAGCAGCAACAACAATAAAGTTGGAAACAGAACCAATAGTTCCAATCAAAGTGAGAATAAAGGGCACCAGCAAATGTGCTCATAAAATGAGTTTATGAATTGAAAACGTAGGACGTACCATGGTGATGGCGGGGTCATTACCCTGACAGGGTGGTTCGAGAAAACTGAG